TTGGGATGTGTATTGATGCAGCAGGGTAGGGTGATTGCTTATGCTTCGCGGCAGTTGAAACCTCATGAGATGAATTACCCTACACATGATTTGGAGTTGGCTGCTATCATTTTTGCGTTGAAGTTGTGGAGACACTATCTTTACGGAGAAAAGTGCAGGATCTTTACAGATCACAAGAGTCTCCAGTATCTCTTTACTCAGAAGGAACTTAATCTTCGTCAGCGGAGGTGGTTGGAGTTGCTCAGCGATTACGACTGTACGATTGATTATCACCCTGGTCGTGCGAATGTAGTTGCTGATGCACTTAGCCGAAAGTCTCAAGGCCGCATTAATGCGTTGTATGCAAGCCGTATTCCTCTTTTGGCGGACTTGCGTGCTACAGGAGTGAGGTTAGAAGTTGAAGATCGAGATGTGGCGTTACTTGCTAATTTCCAAGTTAGGCCAATTCTTATTGATCGGGTGCTTGAGGCCCAAGTAGCTGATCAAGAGACTCGAGAACTTATTCAAGCTCGAGAGCAAGGAAGGAGGCGAGACCTCAGAGTTCGTGATTCGGATGGCATGTTGATGCTTGAGGGTAGAATGTTCGTGCCTAAGAGCGTGGAGTTGAAGAAAGAAATTCTCGATGAAGCACATATCTCGGCTTACGCCATGCATCCAGGAGCTACGAAAATGTATCATACCATCCGACCATTTTATTATTGGCCGGGTATGAAGAGGGAGATAGCCGAGTATGTGAGCAGTTGTGCTGTTTGTCAGCAAGTTAAAGCAGAAAGGAAGAAGCCGTTTGGGTTGTTGCAGCCGCTTCCAATTCCCGAGTGGAAGTGGGAAAATATCACCATGGATTTTGTGTACAAGTTGCCGCGTACACATAATGGCTTTGACGGCATTTGGGTGATCGTTGATCGACTCACTAAGTCGGCTCATTTTATTCCAGTGAGAGAGAAGTATTCTTTGAGCCGTTTAGCGGAGTTGTTCATCTCGAAGGTTGTGAAGTACCACGGTGTTCCGGTGAGTATTGTCTCGGATCGTGACCCACGGTTCACGTCGAAGTTTTGGGTAGCTTTCCAGGAAGCCTTGGGCACGAGATTACTTTATAGTACGGCGTATCATCCACAGACCGACGGGCAGTCAGAGAGAACTATACAGACCTTAGAGGACATGCTGCGAGCTTCGGTGTTGCAGTTTGGTGACGCTTGGCACCAGCGGTTAGATTTGATGGAATTTGCCTATAATAATAGTTTTCATTCAAGTATTGGCATGGCACCATTTGAGGCTTTGTATGGTAGAGCTTGTCGCACACCGTTGTGTTGGTCAGAAGTCGGAGAAAGGGTCTTAGTAGGTCCGGAGATCGTTGAGGAGACTACCCAGAACGTCCAGGTAATCAAGACTAATTTGAAAGCGGCACAAGACAGACAAAAGAGTTTAGCGGATCGGCATGCTACAGACAGGGTGTACGAAGTCGGAGATTGGGTATTTTTGAAGCTTTCGCCGTGGAGAGGTGTAGTGAGATTTGGGAAAAAGGGAAAATTAAGTCCACGGTACATCGGACCATACATGGTCGTGGAGCGAGTTGGTGAGGTAGCTTACAGGTTAGAGTTACCTCCGGAGCTAGCCAGAGTGCATAACGTTTTTCACGTGTCTATGCTCCGACATTATGTTGCTGATCCATCCCATGTGATACCTCCTCAACCGTTGGAAATTAACCCAGACTTGACGTATGACGAGGAACCGGTGACGATCATCGATTGGAAGGAGAAGGTTCTGCGGAACAAGACAGTGAAATTAGTGAAGGTTTTGTGGAGGAACCATTCCGTCGATGAAGCTACGTGGGAGACAGAAGGTCGAATGAGGGATTTGTACCCTCGTTTGTTCTTTGGCCTGTAGGGGCTGCTGTTTGGTTGTTTTGAATTTCGGGACGAAATTCTTTTAAGGTGGGAAGGTTGTGACATCCCGTCCCGGGATTATTAACACGTACGTGTGGAATTACAATTTTGCCCCTAGTGTATTTTCGTCACTTAGTGGGGTGTTTTGTGTGTTGTGGCATGTGTTGGGCCACACACACACCTGCACTCTCTGCCCTTCCCTTTCCCTCTGTCTCTCTCCCTCCCGTGTCTCTCTCTTTCCCCTTCTTCTTCACCATATATGTACGGACCAAACCCAAAACCATCCAAAACCTTGCAGATCGAGGGAACCAAGTACACCATCGTGATGGTGAGGCCGAGAGGAGTCTAGTGGTGCCATTTTCAGGTGAGAAACCAGTCGTTTTCACGTCGATCTCGTAAGCTCCGTTTTGAGCACTGTTCATGCAAACCTAATCTAGTATGTTTTTGGACATTCTAAGCTTGTAGATGTGTTAGTGAGGCCTCAAGGAGCTTGGGAATGCTTCGTTGGGTGAATTTGGACGTCGGGAAAGCTTAGTTCAAAGTTGGCCGAACTTGGATCATTGTTGCAGGTGAGATTCTTTGATTTTTAGGCCTTAAAAGTAGTCTAACGTGATTCTACTAGTCCTAAGCTTCATTTTGGTATAAAGAACGTGAAAAATGGTTGAAAAACGAGTGAGAAAACAAAGTTTGAAAATTTTCCAGTTTTCCGGCGACGGCGCCGGCGGCGGCGCAGACGGCGGCGGCTCGCCGGAGAAGACAGGGGAATATTCCGTTAAGGCTAACGGAATATTCCTAACAGAAGCTAACGGCGTCAGTTAAGGTTAACGGAATATTCCAGGGAATATTCCTGACGGCGTCACCTGACGCCGTCAGTGTGCAGGTCACGTGGCCGCGCGTGGGGGCGCGTGGACCCGTGCCTGTGCTGGCGCGTGGGGGCGCGTGCGTGGTCCAAAAATTATTTTAAAAATATGTGTGTGATCGTGAGGTTGTGTAGATCAATTTGGTATATTCATTTGTCCATTTTGAGCAATGTATGAGAAGTTATTTTGAATGGACGGTTATGTGCTCTAAAGTTAACGTTTTTATAGTTAATTCGCATATAGGTGACACGTATCCCGAGGACGAGCGTGCACATTCGAGGCAGGGGGGCTACGACCCTTCTACATACCAGTGAGTGGGCTTTTGTTTTCCGTATATACCTATATACATTTATATTCCCAGAAATTGATTTAAAAAGGGTTATTTGCCTTATGCCATGTGCTTTATTATTTATCGTTTATGCATCGTTGCATGCATCATTTGTGGCATACATATACATATGCATACGTCATATATATCTATGTGTGGGTGCTGTGGAGGCATAGGTAAGTGCCAGGTAAGCGTTAATTAACGATTGCATTAAATAGTGGTTAGAGATGATTAGAGAGCTCATAACCTGCACCCCCGGTGTTAGTGCTTCCGCCCAGAGTAGGGCACAGTCCTTCACGTGTTGTTCACCTCCCGCACCATACGCTCAGCTTGGATCCAAGTTAGGTGCATAGGCCTGTCGTACAGACCACAGTAGGTGGTTCCGACTCGTAGGTGACCCGCGATTACTCGCACAGCCTTCACGTGATCGTAGCACTAGAGCGTATATACATGTTACACCCAGGCCTGTCGTACAGACCCCTTGAGGTGGTTCCGACTCGTGGGCAGGTTTAGTTATTGAGATTGACATTTGAGCTCTATTTACAGCCGTACAGGTCACGTTAGGTGACTCCGGTTGTCAGAGGATTGTGTGATTGATACGACTCACCCCTGAGCACTTGCATATCATTAAGAGATTTTGTCATAGCATATATTGAGCATGATTGGCATACCCTTGAACATGTTTAAGCATATCTATACATACGTACATATGTTATTTTCTGGGACGTATACAGGTTTTACGGCGAGGGGTTAGATTGTGTTTTATTTAATGGTTTTCAAAGAGCTTTGTTTTTGCCCACTCACGCTTTTGTTTTGCGCCCCTCCAGGTTCTAGTTGCTTAGCCGTTGCGGTGGTTTCCCTTGCGAGCTTTTCGGCGTTCTGACAGACACTCTACATTGTAGGTTCGCCTTCGGGCGTACTACGGTTGTTATTTTCTTTGGACTGCTATAGACCTGCTCTGAATTTGTATCACACTAACTAGCACTTATCCTATGTACTAGAATGCTAGTTTTTAATTATTCGTACTTTTACATTACTACTCTATTAGCTTCCGCACGTGCACTTGGCTACGTCGCCTTTGTGCGACGGCCAGCACGCTCCTACCTCGGTCGGGGTGTGTCACTTATGCCCAAATTTGAAAATTCCGTCAATTTTCTGTTAATTATTAGCACATGAGCTACACATATTAGGCTAAAACGGAACTATCCATACACATATTAGGCAAAAATGAAACTCTCCACTAATTATTAGCACGTGAGATTGGCTCATGAACTAATAATTAACATAAAGTTGATGGAATTTTCAATTTTTGGCATAAATTATAACAAACTTCACTACAGAGACTTAAATCCTATTTTCTAACTACTCTATATAGATAGCTAATATGACATTTTTACAATTAATGATGTCATGTCGTCACGTAAGTAGGTTCTCACAGCAAGGATTAGCGAGGCATGTATTTGCCAAATGGTTACCACTAAGCTCTAAAGCCAACAAGTGCAAATTTGTTTTCAAAATCAGAGCTACCTGGGTATTTAGTTCTCAAAGCAAGGATTAGTGAGATGCCATCTCAGTTTGGGAGAAAATAAGCTTGGTAAGTGGACACTGCAGATATGTTTTTTTTTTTTTTTTTTTTTTTTTTTTTGAACAAATGATATTATTTATACTGAAAAGAAGTGAATGTATTTAACCTTACAATGAGCTAGCAATAATATTGTTCAAATTCGCATTTGAAAAGAATTAAACCTAAGACTTCTAACTTATAGGATAATGAGGAATACCACAAGACCGTAATACTAAATGGTTGCAGATGCGGTGGTTTTAAAGAACAAGAAATGAATAAAAAAAATCTTATACAAGAATAAATTTCAGACTTTCTTTTTCAGTACCCTTTGTTGATTTGGCAAAATTCTGAATAACATCTTCAAAGGTAGAAATGGTATATCTTATATATGCAATTACGTTACGCGATTTTCCCTTCGACAATTGGCTGCCCACATTGTGTTTTCATCAGGGCATTCAAACTAACTGTTGGCTTCAGGTATACATATGTAACTCTCCTCTAATGGGGGTGGTAAAGGGACTCCCAACAAAAACTTCAACTCCCATATGTGCCATCACCAATCTTGCACAAGGATCCCGTTGTAACACCCCCGTCTAATGCAACTCTATAGATTTACAACTATTCCATATACCTCAGAGTTCAACTTCTTGAAGGTCGTCTCCTAAACTGCCGCCACTACTTGGAAGCTGCATCGATGATGGCGGACTATTGTGCATTTGTGACAATGGAGACATACCAAGCGGTCTTCCTAGAGGTTTGATTTCACTCCTCATAGATGGATTGCTAGCATGATTAAGGCTTCCACTCCACGATGCTGCACGGCGGGATTCAGGGGGTGCAAAGCTATTGCCATTTCCCATGTCTCCTGCTCTCTTTTGTACAATGTTATCCATGCTAGGAAACCGCTGCATGGCCATTGAAAACGAAGTTGATGTTTGTGGAGTAGAGAATGCACCCTCAAATGATTTTGGGGGATTGTTGTTGGTCACCAATGGCTCTTGTATGCTTTCTCCAGGTGTTTGAACCGTCTCCTCATAGGGAGTTACTGGAGCCGGGACAAAAATCTTGGGTTTGGGACCACCCCCAGGTTTAGCAGATGGAAGAGATGGTGACTGAAATAAGTTTGCTGGTGCCCCACCGCCTTTGTTGAATGTATCAACATACCTAAGGAAAATTTGAACACAACTTGCATTAAGCGACCCTGACTGCACTTCTTGAATATAAATACAATGAAAAGCAACGGGGAAAGACAGAGAGAATCCGGTAGTCTACCTTGAGCGAACACCTGGACGTCCACGTGCGGAGAACTGGTTGGAACTGGGTGGAATGGGTGGTATTCCAGAACTCGGTTCAGGGGACACCAGGCTAGGGATTTGTGGCCCATTAACTGCAGGGAAACTTTTGGTTTCCAGCGCATCATTTATATTGTAATCTTGCATTCTATTCGGCAAGGCTGCAGTTCGAGGTGGAGGTGGTAAGGCTGCTTCCTCGGCAGGAGGTTCAACACCTTCTTCAACCCATCGCTTAAGTTTCTCATCATAGTAAAATTTATTCTTTTCACCCAATTTAGCCTTCAAAACAACAAAAACAGGACAACTTGTGAGGCTAAACTGAGAAAATATCTCTAAGAGAATCCCGTCATTCAAAGTTAGTAAAAGGAATGTTTAAGTACCTGCCGGGATCTTTTCACAAATCCCAGAGTCTTTTGAAATATGCCAAAACCAAAACGAGATGACCCACTAGATGTTGATTCATTTTCTCGTGGTTTAGAAGATTCCACTTTCTTGGATGAATCAACCTGATTGAACACAAAATAATGGCTGTAAATTTTATTTCCACCAGTACAATACAGGTCAACTACCGAAGTCAATTCTTTGGTAGTATTAAGGTGAATGTTACCAAATGTGGAAAATGGAACTTGCTAGAGACATAAACTGTAAAGAATATGAACAATTTGCACTATCTGCAAACTATAATGTAGTTCACCCACCCAAAGAAACAATATAACCTTGTATCAGATGTGAATTTTACAATGAACAATATTTTCAAAAGACGGAATACAATAATAGTCACCTTTACTGTCTTTTGTTTTTCGTATCACCTATTATATTCTTTTGGGTGAACAGTCAATTTAGTCCCTGGATTTTCACCTGAGTGAAAATTAGGTCCCTAAACTATTTTTTCAGAAAAATTAGTCCTTGAATTACAAAAATCTACCAACTACATTCCTAATATTATATTTGAAGCTACTATATTCAATTTTCCGTCGATTTAAGTCACGTTACTTGCATGTGATACACATTGGAGGGTGGGTTGGTAATTTTACATATAAAAAAAAAATAGTGTATGGAGTTAACTTTGGAGGGTAAATTAGAGATTAGAGTCGCAACCTATATGAAATGTTAAGGACTTATAGGCGAGAAAAGAACGGTATTACACTCTAAAGTGCGTCAAGTGACTTAAGTTGACAGAAAATTAAATAAAACAACTTTGAATATAATAGTAGGGATGAAATTAGCAATTTTTAATGTAGGGACTTATTTTATCAAAAAAATTATTCAGGGACCTAATTTTCACTGAGGTAAATCAGCACTTCACCCTATTTTTTTTTATCTTCACGAATGAAATAGTAATGTGCTTTTATAAATTAAATTGGGGGAAGAACAAAAGCTAGGATGCATCCACCCGTGCCATAACCTAAGCTTCAACTCAGAAAAAAAAAAAAAAAAAAAAAAAAAAAAAAGAAGAAAAAAAAGGAAAATAGAACCGAGACTCTTGACAGCCTTTACCCCATGTCATGAGATGATTGATTCGGCTAAACTGCCTTCGGTATAGGATATCATCCATATAACAGCGATTCCCATCCTTTATCACTTGTCCTTACTGTAATGCACATTGCACAATGTGTCTGAGTTCAGTGGATTATTAATTTTCTTTTTATTTAAATGAACCAGAACGGCTCTGCCCTGGCCCCTGTTCATTAAGTTTGGTTGCACATCGAAAACCACCTTTCTGATTGTGAATTCTTGACAAATTCAAATGCTATAGTATAATTAGAAACAAGGTCTAATAAAATAAGAGTACCGGTGGAAAAAATACATACCTTATTTGGGCTCCTCCCAAAGTTTGGTTCCGATATGCTTCTATTGGGTATATTCAGTTGATTGCCCTCAGCAGTCCATTCGCTTATTGGCTCCATCGATGCTGAAGGCATCAACGGAGGCATAGCCATTGTTGACTGACTATTGGGTACGCTTGGCCCTGGTATAAACGAAGACACAGCCATTGTTGATTGACTATAGGGCACACTTGGGCCTGGCATAAACGAAGACACAGCCATTGTTGACTGACTATTGGGTACACTTGGGCCTGGCATAAATGAAGGCATAGCCATTGTTGATTGATTACTGGATACACTTGGGCCTCCTGATTGCTGAGCATGCTCATTACATTGGGCAAAGACTTGTGATGTCGAAGGTGCAGGTGGAGGCGGGCCTCCAACAACACGATGAGCAGTATTATCAAATAATGTAAGCAATTTACCCATCAGTTTGGTTGGAGCTGAATTTGTACTGTAACCACCCTGTACAAAATGTTTTGTGTAAGAAAACACAGAGAAAAAAAAAAAGAGAGAGAGAGAAAAAGAACTGCATCTTAAAGAAAAACCTGCTGATGGGCTCTTATCCGCTCCTCTAGAGATGATACTAACTGTCTCCATGTGTCCACTTCAGGTGCTCGACCATATTTCAAAGACTTTAAAATTGCTTGACAGTATCTGACCAAACATATTGTCTAAAATAAGCTAGAGGCAAATAAAAAAAAATTTGAAAAAGCGACCATTTTCAAACTTCACTCTAAGAATAAAAAGGGTCTCGATGAACAACAGTTACACTTACTTCAAAGCATCTGCAACTTTTCCAACTTCTGCCAGCATGTGGGCATATACAAGCTTATAGGGCTGAAAGGGTAGTAGGAGAAACTGAGAATTTCCGAGAACCCTTGAGTGCTCGTATAACTCTGTCCTCTGTCAACACAAAGTTTGGCTTAGTTAAAAATTGGCTAAAGTAGTAAAACAAAAATTAATGATAATAATAATAATAACAGCAGCAACAACAAAAACAATAATAATAACAACAATGAGGTAATACAGTTAAAACATTTTCTTCTTTCCACAGTGACGTTAGATGCTCCATACACTATAAAAGGCAAAAGTTATAGGGGATCCAGAAATCAGTGGAAAATAAACTCATGCATATAATGACAATTGGTTTCTACATCATTAAATTTTAAAAGCTCCTAATTTAATTCAAACTTCAATACAAAATCATATAATAGAAAACATATAGTGTCAATCACCTGGATAGCCTCAGGACAGGCGTATGTTCGTGGATATTTCAAGTGATCTGCACCAATAAGACACAGTCTTGCACTGTCTGAATATGCCTCAAAATTGGCTTCTGCAACCAGATAACATATGTGTGCAGGAGTATTCTGCACAAATGCTTTCGGTTAGGATAAAACCAGATGAGATAATAAGTTTCTAACATATAAATATAAGATGGAACTGAATCCAAGAAACACACAACATATACCTGTCCCCTTTCCTTCCATAGGCAATCTCCAAGATGGATGATAACAAGCTCATCATCTTTTGTTCGGTTCGCAGTTAAGATGGCTAAATTCTCTTCCCATTCATCTAACATGGAATTGGCCCCAACCTGTGGCAAGAAAATAATCAAAATTAAGGCAAAAGAATTCAAGGAACTTCAAAAACATAGGATCATGACCATTACACACATAAGCAATGTTTTCACTTCAGTATTCTATCCAGTTGAAATACAAAAAATAAAATTAAATGAACATAGAAAACACAAACGTCAAACTTTCCAACAAAAAACCCAGGTCGCACCCTTTTTTCGTCTGAACCAAATAACCATAAATCACCTGTGTCTGCTGTTGTGATACATTCATAGAATTAGGTGTACTGCTAACTGTAGTGGCACTCGAAAACACGTCTGCAGGCTGCCTGGCAATTAACAAGCACAAAGTCCGCAATGGTGATCCTGCTGCTAACTGGTTTAGTGCCATAAGCTTTACAGTATCACCATAAAACTGCATGCAATATCAAAACAGACCAGAAAACATTCATCAAAAACAAATTATGATAATAGATCTGATGAGCTTTCTTACTATGTTTTATATATATATATAAAAAAAGGATTAACCAAGTTGATGAATAATACTGAGAGAAATAATTGGAAGAACCTGTTCACCAAGCTGTGATGCAATCACCAGTGCTGGACCCCACAACTGACCATTCTGTGCACATTGTAAAGCCTCTTTCTTCCTACCAGAGACAAGAAGCTTTTGTACCTCAAGAGCAGTAGCCTAAAGAAAAACATATATTCATTATGGAAGGCAGCGGAAATTTATGAGAGAGAGAGAGAGAGAGAGAGAGAGAGAGAGAGAGAGAGGGAGAGGGAGAGTTAGACTATGACATACTTGACTCTGTGCTTCAGAAGGCAAGTTCTGTAACATAAGAGCACTGTACTCGTTGCTTCTCTTAGCAGAGGCAAAAAGCTTGGCAATGGCTGACTCCGGATTATCAGATTCCTAATTATATTTTAAGTTTTTAACAAAAGTGGTTAATAATCATATCACATGAGAACTGTTGAATGCTCTTGAACAAATAAAGAAAAGTTCATAATGTTAGGATTGAGAGGGCAATTTGGCAAGATAAAAACCCAATATACAAGCACCAGCAGTATACTTCTAAAGTTATAATGATGACAACACCAGATTTCTGGGATTTTAAGTTTTAAATCTATGCGCTAATTATACTGCCACTATGATTATTTAACTATAACTGGCATACTAAGTGCCATTTTGTTGTTGCATGAAACTTAAGTGACAACTATCACTAAATACAACACTTTTAATGAGAGAATCCATCTACTGAGCATGCCCCATCAAGGAAGATGTACAACCAGCATAATTAATATGGTAGAATAAAATATAGAAACTCATGAAATGCCAAAGTTCAAATATTTATGAATCAAATTGAGAATGATAATCAAGCAATCAAAATGTGATAGAACATCCAATCAAAATGTGATAGAACATCCAAACAGGTCATAAATAGTCATTTAAGAACCACAAATTAAAGTACCTTCAATGCTACATCAGTGCCAAAGGGAGATCGAAGTTTTCCATAATACTGGCATGCTATTTTTAGTAAAGAGAAAAGCAACCTCAAATGGTCCCCTTTTCTGATATCCATATAAGGAGTTTCACAGTTCGCAATCATTTCATCTATCCATTTGTTAACTTCCCTACTTCCAACACTCCCCCCAACCAAAGGGCCAGGGTAAGATTGCTGACACAAAGCATGGAAATAAGCACGACCATCATTTCCAAAGCTTGCAACATCAGTTTTGTCCACGACAATGTCCATCAGATTGAGAACATTAATCGAACCTCCTACAGAGTCCTTCAAATTACAAACAGAAAAGAAAACGAAAGTAAGGCCTATGCCAACACCAGACATATGAGTAGAAACATGAAAATACACACACACACACACACACATCAGTGGGTATGTGCCTCAGGAAATTGAAATCAGAAGGTAAGGCTTGACCTGGCTTCCATACATATTGCTGTAATCTTTCATGACTATAAGTTTCCCTCCAAATCCAAAGGTAACTAGAGCATGTGGAGGACGTCCTGCAGATGACCTTCCTGCACTGGCCTCATGAGAAAACTGAGTTCCAATTTGGAGTGGTTGCTGTAAAAATTGTACTGGCTTCTGACTATCAAAGTTAGCAGGTGAGAAGCATGTCACTTGGTTTGGCTCCTTAACCTGATGCTGATGATGAGATAAGTTTCCAGAAGGATTGAACCCTGGTTGTTGATTCACAGAACTGGTTACATGCCCGGTTGAAAAATACTGGGTCGCGTACTGCTGTGTCTCAGTAACACTAATAGTGTCACTTGCAGAAACTGTTTGATTATGCCACATACTCGCATTTTGCTGATCATAGGTGCTCATAGATCCATCCCAGTTTGCAACATCTGAACCATAATTCTCCACATTTGAATTGTGAAATTGCTGATTATACTCCACACTTGTTGACTGGTCAAAAGTTGGAGTGGAAGACTCCAACTGCTTCCATTCTTGGGTAATTGTGTCATAGTACCACCCAGGGTATTGGGGATCAAAAACCATATGGGCAGGGTAGTCCATGCTCCCATTAAAATGCTGATTCCACTCAGAAACAGCACTAGTTTCAGATCCCTGGGCCACACTTTGAGGAACAGATTGTGCTGGTTGCTGTAAATAATAAGCATCTGCTTTCTGGTCTGAAAAAACCACATTATCTGCAGTTTGAGAATGCACATTAACACTCTCCTGAGCATTTGCATTCACATCATAGCCCTCCAACTGATACCATTGCCCAGTATTTGGATCGTACCTCCATCCCGGATAAAGGGTATCCCAATTCTGACTACTATTCAACTCCTGGCCACCTGTATTTTGTTCCTCAACAGCCCCATAGTGCTGACCTTCTTGTTGCTGCCCATACCTAGAAATGCCTACATCAGCAACTGAGTTCTCCAAGGCACCATCAGTGACATTAGACATGGCCCAGGATTCGTCTGTATTACCCAAATGTGCAAACGGGTCTGCAGAGAAATCTCCAAAGTCACCAGAAGGATTCAAATCTGAGTTAAACGAAGTCCATTGAACTTCTTTCAAATGTGATCCAACTGATGCCAAACTCGTATTCAAGTCCTGCCCATCTAAACTTTGCCCCTCAACAACGCCATAGCGCTGACCTTCTTGGTGCTGCCCATAACTAGAAACACGTAAATCAGGAACTGAGTTCTCCGAAGCAATATCAGTGACATTAGACTCGGCCCACGATTTGTCTGTATCACCCAAATTTGCAAATGGGTCCACTGAGACATCTCCAAATTCACCAGAAAACGAGCTCCACTGAGCCACTTTCACACCAGATCCCACTGCTGCCAAACTCGTATTCACCATCCCATTTACTGAACCTTCCTCCCCTTTATCCTCCAATTCCTTAGCCTCATTTTCATTACCCTCTTTATCCTCCAATGACTTAGCCTCATTTCCATTACCCGCTTTATCCTCTAACTCAGTTGGCTCATTTCTATTATCCTCTATATCATCTGGAGCACTAGCCCCATTTCTATTATCAACCATATCATCTGGCGCACTGGCCTCATTTCTAGAATCCAGTATCAGTGACTCACTCTCTTTAACAACTACAGGGTCCCATATGGGATCAGACTGTTCCACCACAACCCCATCTTCATGACCCAATTCACCATTAACCCCAAGACTAGCATTGCCGCTGGTGTCTACTCCCACCGGATCTACTTCAGAAATACTCAACTTCGAAAAAGCTTTGACATCTACAAACTCTTTCTTCTCTACCGGTTTATGCACAAATTCAGTAAAGTCAATGTCATCATTAACCAATCTGTCAAAGAAATCCTCATCTGTATCCTCCACCTCAAACGGAGAACTCGCCATCTAAATCACACGCCCTAAAAAAACCCAAATCAATCTCACTATATGTAATAAAAAACCCACTTCCCCAAATTTTCCTCAGCAGACAAAAGTCAGTAGAATTGAAGTACCACAGCATTCAGTCACATAAAAACTTCAAAATTCTGAAACTTACTACCATTTACCATCTGAAACAAAATGAATCACAACCAATAAAATCAACAAAAACAAAATCAGGGTTCTATGAGCAATGACCAATCCAATTGAAATCTGAAATTAATAAATTAAGAGACGACTGAATCAATATTTAATAATATGTAAGTTATGGGTTTTAAGAGAGATAAACTTACAGGTTAAACCCTAATGGTTTCTGGGGAGGGAGATAATCGGAGTCTCCAATTGAGACAAATCATGGATCTTGCAGCAAAGCAGCAAAAAGATGAAAGCAGCGCACTCGCCAATAAAGTTTGCATGTTTTAATGGGTGTGTCAAAGTTTGGTAATATAAATCTTGACCAGAAGAGAAACAATTGCCACACGTGCCAATCGAGACAGAAGTTTGACAAGAGTTTATAGGTGCACGTGATGGGCTCTACTTGCTATTGATAACACAACATTGCTGATTTTCGGTGTAAGATTTTCTCCCATTCTATTCATATTTTCTTCCCTCTTCTTTTTTTATATTGTTTTTTGTATTATTATCTTTATAAAAAAATCAATATAAGATATTAACGTAATTTAATTGTAACCGTTCAAGTATAAGAAGAATGAAGAGGAAAGAAATGAAGAGGGGAGAGAATTCTCCTCCATGTTTTTCCGGCTATCAAGATGTATTCTTCTTAGTGATAGATTTTAGACGTGATCCTAGTAAATAACGAATTCGACATCATCTATAAGATGATAATATAGTGAATGTACTGCGTTGTTTAGACTTGATCCATCTGCATAATGTAAAATAACGTTTGTATTTTTGGGTGTGTGGGTTAGACTGTCTATTTATTTTGAAACTTTGGAGAGAGGGATTTGGTTGACTTTTACGCATTCCTTGCGTTTGTTTAGTTTGGTTTCTCAAAAGGTAAAAAGAATGAAAATGGTCTTTTTCTTTCTTTTATGGTTGGTGTCCATTGTCCATGCCTGATTTTTAGACACTGGAAATTACTTTAGTCTAAAGAAAGCATTGCAATTGGCATTGTTCTTGATTATTCATTGTACCTAAATTTCAGTTTATTTACGAGGTTGCCATTGATTCTCTCTGCCACTCATCTTCATGCCGCGTGTTGATGATCGTGGAAAGGCAGGGGTGCGATGGTCATTTTAGTGTGTAGGGTTTCGAACGGGTTGGGTAGGTTAGAGACTTTCAGTTCCTCTCTTTGTGAGCAGCAGTGGGACTCGGTGAGACCATGCCGTCGCGAGATAGACCGAGCGAGCAGAGAGAGAAGAGAGACACGGAGGGAGAGAGATAGGGATTTGGTGAGAGGAAGGCATGCGGCTTGCAGGCAGACAGAGGGCTAGTTTGGTATTGCTGTGCTTTGAAAAAAAAGCTGCTTCTGCTGTGCTGTGAGAATAAGCAGCTGTGAAATAAAGCAGCAAATTGTTTGGTAAACTTTTTTTGTAAAAGTGCTTTTGAAAAAAAAAAACAGTATTATAATGTTTGATAAACTTTTATGTAAAATAGATGTGAAAAAAGCCAATTTTTCAAAGCTGGGTTTTGCAACTTCTTGTTTTTGACTTTTTTTACCCAAAACTGTGAAAAAAAGCTGAAGCTGAAAACACAAAAATAGCTCCAGTTTTTTTTTATGCCTTTTTCAGTACCAAACCAGGCCAGTCATAGGGGGTGTACGATTCGAGGGAGACAGAGAGGGAGAGGGAGACAGCGCGAAAGAGAGAGTGGGAGAGGGAGGAGTAAGGATTGCTCGCTGAGGGTTTCGCAGTTGGGAGGCCATGCTGATGGAGATAGAGATGGGAGAGGGAGAGGGAGAGAGGGAGACAGAGATAGAGCGACACAGAGAGAAGGAAAGGGATCAGCGCCATTGCTGCAGATCCTTGATCTTCTTCGATCCCATCTCCGTGTTCTTCTCAGCCTCTCACAGTCGCAGCATCACTCGCCCACTCACTCACTCACTACAGGTACGCCTCTTAAACCCCCTTTTGTATTTTTATCTTTCTTGATTGATGATTTAATTTGGGTTTTATTAATAGTTTAATTTGGAGTTTAATTCAGGTTTGTAGTTGGGGTTTAATTGAGGGTTTTACTTAGGTTTTGAATTAGGTGGGTTTTTGGTATTTCAGCTCCCCAAGTTTTTCACTTTCATTGTGGATTGTTGTTTTTGGATTTAATTAGCTTTGTTTTTTTCATTTTTCTCAAATTCCCAGCTGATTTGGCTTCCAAATAAAAACGAACAAATCACCTAAAAAAAGAGCTCCAGGCAATACATACATGAACTCGATGAGAAGCCACCATCTCTTATCTACAGAGTGAAGAAGAACTCAACAGATTGTATGTTACTCCTCCCCAATATTTTCTGTATGTTTTCTTCAATTATTTGTTTTTGGGTTTGTTTCTTTCCCGAGAATAAGAAGAAAGAAACAGGAAAAATTAATATTGGGTAGTTAATTTATCTTGGAGTGTTATATTTATTCAAGACATCAGGGGAATTAGGTACTTAATTGATTGATTACCTGAGTGAATTTCTTTGATTTTTTCTGAAAGAATTTGCTTTTTTTTTTTTTTCTGGGATTTTGATGTTTTCTTGAATTTTACCACTTTGGTCGTGGCTTCCACTCAAATGTTAATTTAATTTAATTTTTTTGGGTATTATAGCAAATTATATATATAGTTTGCCGTTATAGTTTAGTCCTTTTTATGCAGTAGATTGTAGAAAAATGATCAAAAACAGCTTCATGCAAGCACATGAGTTTGGTAAGTTTTGGTGTTCATATGCTGAATTTGTTTATGCTTTGTGCATTGTCTATTCAATTTATATCAGTTTCATAATTTGTAATTGTGATGTTTATAAGTCTACGGAGTAAGTTGCATAATTGTGCGGCATCTTTTATATGCAGAGAAGAGACGCGCTGAATCTCACTTCGCCATTCGCCCCTCCGTCCTCTCATGATCTCTCACACCCTCTCTCTAATTTCAGAACAATATTAAGCGGCTCGAGCTCTTTTTGCATTGAATCAATGGCAGTCATCTAGAGGTGATTTTTCTTTGCCTTTTTGTTGGGTTAGTGAATTTTTAGCTTAATTTGGGTTGTGTAGGTTCTGTTTTGGCTTAATTTCGATTTTCAACTCTAATAAAATATTGGTTTTAGGGATTTCTTCTTAGTGATTATCTTCATATTTGATTAGTGATTTAGCGTGTGGATTGTCTACTTCTTTGATGAAAAGTCTCACCGTTGGAACTAATATAGGTTTCTCATATTTTCTTGCAACATTTGTGAGGGATTTAATTTTCCTTTTCTGGGTTTTCTTATACTCAAGGTATGATTTACATTCTGGAATTCATAGTTCAATTGGAAACCACGATGACATATCAACGTGTGTTGGACCTCAATTTTGTATTATTTACATTCCTGTCATTGCCAAAAAGCATGGGCTGCAGAGACAAAGAAAGGGAGATAGGCGGGGGATGGCAGGGAGGGGAAGGGAGAGGGAGGAGTGAGGTTGCCATAAAAAGGGGTTATGGTTGATTTTTTCTCCTCAAATCAAGGGTTGGTGTCGGGATTGAGAGATGTGTCAAAATTGCCACTAGAAGCCTAAATTAATGGGTAGCTGTCGGTGATTGAGAGATTGAGAGGGAGAAAATTGAGGGAGGTTGTCACTGACCCGATTGAGTGAGGGATTTTTTGAGGATTCCACTGACTTATTGACTAGCAACACAAGACAAGACATGCTTCCGGTAAACCGCCTCCGTCGTTTTCCTCCTCTCTCTCCTCCATCTACTTCCTCTCACCTTCGTCGTCTCCCTCCTCCTCTCTCTCTGGAATTGATCGATCTTCGAAGAGGATAAAAAGATCTGAAATGGTGTGCTTCTTCTACTATGATTCTGTGTTTTTAATTTTTCTGGGTTTGGCTTCTTCTGTTATTCCACTGTCTACTAATTTACAAAAATAATGAATTTTGTACATTTTGCTTTTATTTTACTTTTTGTTATATTTCATTGCAATATCAAATAAAGTTGGTATTTTAAAATCTCACTGCAATTTGTTTTGTTATATTGTTGGTGGGTATCTTTAATTATGCCCTGAAGGAGGAAGGCAAAGAGAGGACAGACTTGGGTTTGGGCATAAAAGGGATCTTTAGATTTCTGTAAAAGTACTTTGTGCCTTTTTGCTATTGGTGATGAGTGTTCATGAATATTTATGCTTTAATATTGCTGTTACAGGAGCAAGTTGTTTAGTTAAAATCCTAAGAAGATTTGGGTAAAACATTCCGGCTGTCTCATTATTGATAGTCTGAATTTCTGCAATCTCTGAGATATATTTGGGATAATTTTATAGTGATATACGTCAAGGTTCAAGAAAAACTTTGCTGCACTGCATTATAGGAGTATCTGGTTGATGAAATTTTACTGATTTAAGCATTTAGCTCCCGATTGTGTTAAATCAGTATTTAAAGAAATTTTTGTATGAGAATGCATTGATAGAAATTTTTTTGCCCAAAAATTAACTCACGGAGCTTCCTGTGAGTTAGTCTTAGCTTTTGATTTAAATTTTTTTAGAAGTATTATCATTTTTTTTAATCTCTGCTGCTGTTTTGGATATTTTTATGATTTTTATGCGATGTTCATCTGTTTAGGCACTCAAATTAGTGTTTTGGAGTGCATCTTGGCCAGACCACCACAAAAGAGAAAACGGAAACCAAAATCAGAGCCATCAAAACAAACAAATGCTGGTATGTCCTAAAAAAGGTTGGTTTGTGTACTTTCAAAGAATATATGGAAGAAGAGAATATTGATCATGGTGTAGAATGTGATGGTAATGTGGTTGAAAAAGAGAAAATGTTGCACGAAAAGATCTCGGAGCTCATTGACGAAAATATGCAGCACCGGGCTGAGTTGATAAGGAGAAACAAGGAGAATAGTGAAACAATTGAGTGGCTTTTGTCCCAAGTGCATAAGCTAACGGATGAGAACAAAATTTTGAGGATTAATCTAGGAATCCATAAGGATACTACTGATCATACAATTGCAATCCATAAGGATGCTATGATGCGAGATTTATACGCACACAAATTAAACCCTCTTTTTGTCAATTGTAGTATAAGTATAAGTAGGGATCGTTCTGGACCGGGGATTAGGAGGGATTGCTAAAACCTTGGAAACTGACTCAAAAACGTAAAAACAAGATAAAACACTAAACTAGACTCAAAGAATGTGAACTAAACGTTAAGACAAACCAAAAGACTCAAAATGCTTTAAAAACACAAACTAAATTGATTTCTAACTAAATTGAACAATAAAGTAAAGGGGGATTGGATTTGGACAACTTTAAACTAAAAATGGAAACTTGGAAATAAAACAAATTGTAAATATGGATTTGACGGAAATGAATGGATGGGAAGCTAGCTAAGGGGTTCATCTCCACATATGTTATACTTGCATACAAAACGATGTCTAATTGCTTTTCAATAAACCATGAATTCTCAACGCCCCGGGTTAATTAGGTCCGCTTAAATTAACCGTCAAGTTTTCCTTAAGTTAATGAATTGGATGATTGCATACGACAATCCAAAGCATTCCTCACAAGTTCCCTACATGAATTGCATAATAGAGATACAAGCAAGAATCATTAAGCATCATGAAAACTATAAGTGTTGACGAGGCATTCGTTACTATGATTGCATGAAACTTATGCCAAGAATATGTTTAACACGATTGTTTATAAGCAACCTCCACTACTTGTGAATATAAGTTCATAACTATTACGTGAAACTCACTTATATTCTAGCGTCAAATTCATGCATGAAAATTAAGCGTTCATTCTTAATAAACATACATAAATAGGTTATCAATTAAACAGTTAAACAAATTGAATTCACAACTTATGAAACGTAATTAAAAGTAATCAAATCATATTACAAACATAAACATAGTTTCGAATCACCCCCTAGCTAAAGGAGGTTTATTTCCTCATAACTTTGAAATCAAAGAAACACCTAAACATTCCAACAACTCAAAACTTGAATTGTATGAACGTTTAAGCACTCTTTTCTTCCATTTCTCATACGTACAAAACAAAGAGAATTAAAATGAAACTTTGAAATCAAAGAAACACCTAAACATTCCAACAACTCAAAAATTGAATTGTATGAACGTTTAGGCACTCTTCTCTTCCTCGTTGTTGTAGCACAAGGTTTAAGGATAGGTTGGTTGGGGGGATGGAAGTGTTGGGGAATTATGGAAATGGATGAGGATTGGTGGAAATGGAAGATGGTTTTTGGATTCTAAGGGAGAAAGGAATGTGTTTGTGGTGTGTTGTTGTGTTGTGAATGAGATGATTTTTGAATGAATGAATGCAAGGGTATTTATAGGAGGAGTGGAGATGTATATGGCTATTTGTTTAAGGTGTTTGTGGTTGCAATGATGAAGAATTGCATGTGGAAATAAAAGGGAAAATGTGGTGAAATGATGAAGTAGGAAGGTGGAAATGCATGTGAGATGTTGGAAAGGAAATGGGAATATGAGTAGGCCATGGCATGGGAGTTGTTTTGTTGGTGTAAATGTGCCATGGTTGCAATGATGAAGAATAAAGGGTGCATGTGGGGTGGAATTGAATGAATGCAAAGTGAATGAATAATGAAATGAGTTAAAGAGGGAGAATGTGGTGAAATGATGAAGTAGGAAGGTGGAAATGCATGTGAGATGTTTGTGGAATAAAGAATGAATGGTGGAAATGTGAGTGAATGATGTGCATGTGTGTGAATGCATGTGTTGATTTAAAGAATAGGTATGCATGTGAATTAGTTTGGAAAGAGGTGGGTGTGCATGTGAGATGAAATGCATATGTTTGAAATGTGTAGATGATTATGAGTATGATAAGTGATAAATGAATGATATGTGGTGAGTGATAAGTGAATGGAAATGATAAGTGATAAGTGAATGGAAGTGATAAGTGAAAGGTTTGATAAGTGATAAATGAATGATATGTGGTGATAAATGAATGATATGTGGTGAGTGATAAGTGAATGGAAGTGATAAGTGATAAATGGACTAGTTTAAAGGGTTAGGGTTTAAGTACATAGAATGGGCCTAAAATAGGTTGGTTTGCATGGCATAATATGTTTGATTGGGCTAGAGGTTTTCCATGGCTCAAAGGATTTGTTTGATTGGGCTAGGCCCTTTGTTTGATGTCCCCAAAGAGCATACAAGGCTTCAATTTCGTCCATCCTCTTTGCTCCATGATTAAGCTATCCAATCCATGCCCAAAAGTGCCCCAAATAGCCTCAAAATGCACTTTCTTGCTCCCTAAGCCCTTAGAACCTGAAAACACACAAAAGAAGCATAAAGGACTAAAATAACTATGAATTACCAACATAGATGCACGAAAACAAGCTAAGTAAGTCGCCTAAATATGCTCCTATCATGCTACTGATTATACAATTACAAGGCAAAACAAGCCTCAGTTTTCAAGATCTAAGTCCATGGGGCCATCTTTCTTTGGAAGGCTCACTGGATGCCTAGAACTTGATCTTAATTAGCTACTTTTCAACTTTATTACGTAGCGTTAAAAGTTTTCAAATGTATATGTTTATATGCTTTCATAATACATGTGAAGATTCCTAGTGAATTATAACATATTTCAATTTTTAATTTTATGAGTATAGAAAAGGAACTGAATGCTTCGTTATTTTGATGCTGCAGCTGAAGCCAAGTGTGGATAAAGAGAAAGATCTCATGGCAGGAATCATGAACTTGATGAAGGTGAGGTTAACAAAGTGTGCTTTAGCACCAAGATTGGAATTTGGGTGTTCTGAGCTTTGTTTTGTTGTGATTTTTCTATAATCTATATGCTGAAATACTTGGAGTTGGAATTAATAAGAATTGATTGAACATGGATTTTTTATTAGATTCGTATGGCTGACATGGTTAAGAAGTAGTTTAAGATGCAGTGATTAGGTAATTTCTTTAACTGAACATATTTATTTTCGTGAGGTAGATAGAATCCTCTGTAATTTAATTAATCAGATTGAAATTTGGGGTCTGGATTCTTAAACTATGGTGGTTAATGTCGTTTTTTTGGTGAATTTTTCAAGTGGGGAAAAAGAGGTGGGTGTGGGATTTATGTTGTTATTCTCAGTTGGTATATAAATATTTGAGTGTGCAAGAAATGGTTACCAAACAAGAAATACAAGAACTGAAATTAGAAGGGATAAAGGCAGTTTGCAGAGGGTTGGTTTGGGGATGGTAAAAGTTGCGTAGGTGGCGAGATTAATGGTGGTAGTTTCGTGGTGGCGTAGTTCTCTGTGAAACCCCTTAAAATTTTAGTTTTTGTTAATTTTTTTTTTTCTTCACAAAGGAACTTAGGTGGTAGCTGTATTACTAATTAGCTACAAAAGTTATATATTCTTATGAGTACGGTATGGGTGCAGGTTTGCTATGTTGCTTTTTGGGATGAAATTACTTTAAATACAGAGGAAAATTTGATTGATATTATTGCGTCGTATGCAGAAGTCTAAGTTTTACCTATTTTGATAATGCTTGGTTTTTGTGTATTGAGTTGGATAGAAAGTTCATAGGTTTGGTTCCATAATTATTGGGAGAAGAAAAACACAAAGAGGGCAACACAATAACCCTAGGATGATTATATATGGAATGAATAAATCTATTAACGAATTATTTTTTGGGTGTTGTTGGGGAGAAACACCTATACTCCAAATATTTATGAATTGGATTCATTATAAAATAGGTAAATTGTATGCATTACTTCTTTTGGCACTAAATCTTTTGTTAAATTTTATTTTGCTGACTTTTAGTTTTTGACTTTCCTTTGGCAGGACTTTTAATTAAGCATGCATCTTTGGTGTAATATTATCATATTCTTGAGGTTTGGATTTTTTACTCTTTACTTTTGTGACCATTATTGTGACATCCCACATCGCTCAGGGGTGATCCTTAAATGTATATTCCATCCCTACCTAGCACGAGACCTTTTGAGAGCTCACTGGCTTCGGGTTCCGTAGGAACTCCGAAGTTAAGCGAGAAGAGGGCTAGAGCACTCCCAGGATGGGTGACCCTCTGGGAAGTTGCTCGTGAGTTCCCAAAAACAAAACCGTGAGGGAATGGTAAGCCCAAAGCGGACAATATCGTGCTACGGTAGTGGAGCGGGCCCGGGAAGTGGTGCCACCCGGGCCGGGATGTGACATTGGTATCAGAGCCTATCCCTGGCCGGAAATGTGCCGACGAGGACGTCGGGCCCCTAAGGGGGGTGGATTGTGACATCCCACATTGCTCAGGGGTGATCCTTAAATGTATATTCCCATCCCTACCTAGCACGAGGCCTTTTGGGAGTTCACTGGCTTCGGGTTCCGTAGGAACTCCGAAGTTAAGCGAGAAGAGGGCTAGAGCACTCCCAGGATGGGTGACCCTCTGGGAAGTTGCTCGTGAGTTCCCAAAAACAAAACCGTGAGGGAATGGTAAGCCCAAAGCGGACAATATCGTGCTACGGTAGTGGAGCGGGCCCGAGAAGTGGTGCCACCCGGGCCGGGATGTGACATTTTCTTCCCTCTTGCATCAACATGCCATCCGATTCACGTACCCTGAGGTCTCCTCAACAATCTCCGAACCCACTAAAACTCTTTCTCCGACCTCTGACCAACACAACGGTGTGCGACAAGCTCTACCATACAATGCCTCAAACGGCGCCATGCCAATACTCGAGTGAAAACTATTATTATAGGCAAATTCCATCAAATCCAGCCACTGGTGCCAAGCATCACCAAATTGCAACACCAAAGTTCGTAACATATCCTCCAAAGTCTGAATAGTCCTCTCGGACTGCCCGTCTGTCTGAGGATGATACGCCGTGCTGTAGAGTAGTCTCGTACCCAAAGCTTCCTGGAAAGCCACCCAAAACTTAAATGTGAATCGTGGATCACGATCCGAGACAATACTCACCGGAACACCATGATATTTCACAACCTTCGAGATGAACAACTCTGCTAAATGACTCAAAGAATACTGTTCTCTCACTGGAATAAAATGTGCGAACTTAGTGAGTCGATCAACGATCACCCAAATGCCATCAAAACGATTGTGCGTACGCGGAAGCTTGTACACGAAATCAATGGTGATATTTTCTCATTTTCACTCGGGAACGGGAAGCGGCTGCAACAACCCAAACGGCTTCTTCCTTTCTGCCTTAACCTGCTGACAAATGGCACACCTACTCACATACTCGGCTATCTCCCTTTTCATACCCGACCAATAATAAAATGGTCGAATGGTATGATACATTTTAGTAGCTCCTGGATGCATGGCGTAAGCCGAGATATGTGCTTCATCAAGAATTTCCTTCTTCAAATCCACAACATCTGGCACGAACATATATAGATATGACATATGCATAATTGAATATATAATTAAACGTACATGCCACTAATCATGCATAACCACCAATTATATAAAGGAATGGCATATAACGAAGCATTTATACTAATTTTTGGGAATTAATCTGTATATAGGTATATACGGAAAACAAAAGCCCACTCACTGGTATGTGGAAGGGTCGTAGCCCCCCTGCCTCGAGTGTGCACGCTCGTCCTCGGGATACGTGTCACCTATATGCGAAATAACTATAAAAATGTTAACTTTAAAGCACATAACCTTCCGTTCAAAATAACTTCTCATACATTACTCAATTTGGGTGTGTGAATATACCACGGTGATCTACACGACGTCACGAACACGTGACAATTTTTAGAACTCAATTTGGGGCTCTCACGCGCCCTCACGCGCACTGTAGACGCGCTGCCCATGCGCGCGTCTTCTTCCTCGCGTCGCCGGACTGGTTTCGCCGGAGGTGGGTGTTTTGCCGGAATTTCTGGGTAAACTTCAAAGTGTCATAACTTCTTCATTTCTTAACCATTTTCGACGTACTTTATATCAAAATGAAGGTATTGACGAGACGAACACATCCATACCTGCCTCGACCCCTAACTCGCCGTGGATTCGCCGGAAAAAGCCTCGAAAGCTCCGGCCAAACTTTGAACTTGTCGTTCTCCATGTTTTTTCGTCCAAAAACTTCCAACGAATTACTCCAAGCCTCCTAAGGACCTCAAGAAGCTTCCTATAAGCTTGAAAAGTCCTAAAAATCAACCAATAAAAAGTTGATGAATAGTACCTAAACCGAAGTTCGTATTTTCGACATGAAAACGTTATAGTTCTTACCTGAAATTGGTATGGTTGGACTCGTATCGTCGAAACGAAGAAGATGGTGATTTTATTTTCGTCGATCCGTGAAGTTTTGAAGAATTGGTGTTGTTGCCGTGTGTTTGAGAGTGAGGGAGAGAGAGAGAGCTTGACGGGGAGAGAGGAAGAATGAAAAAACAGGTTTGAGGAAATCACGGAAAGGAAAAGGAAAATGAGAAGAAACGTGCAACCCGTGTATGCACAGTGCCCTGTCTTTAATCATTCGACACAATCAAACAAACCGTCCAACTTTAATAAAGATTTAGGTTAATTAAACACACTTTACACATATGAAAATGTTAATTCGGGACGGGCTGTCACAACTGTAACATCCCACATCGCCCAGGGGACTGATCCTTAAATGTATATTCCCATCCCTACCTAGCACGAGGCCTTTGGGGAGCTCACTGGCTTCGGGTTCCGTAGGAACTCCAAAGTTAAGCAAGTAGCGCACGAGAGCATTCCCAGGATGGGTGACCCATCGGGAAGTTCTCGTGTGAGTTCCCAGAAACAAAACCGTGAGGGAATGGTAAGCCCAAAGTGGACAATATCGTGCTACGGTAGTGGAGCGGGCCCGGGAAGTGATCCGCCCCGGGCCGGGATGTGACATTGGTATCAAAGCCTATCCCTGGCCAGAAATGTGCCGACGAGGACGTCGGACCCCTAAGGGGGGTGGATTGTAACATCCCACATCGCCCAAGGGACTGATCCTTAAATGTATATTCCCATCCCTACCTAGCACGAGGTCTTTGGGGAGCTCACTGGCTTCGGGATCCGTAGGAACTCCAAAATTAAGCAAGTAGCGCACGAGAGCATTCCCAGGATGGGTGACCCATCGGGAAGTTCTCGTGTGAGTTCCCAGAAACAAAACCGTGAGGGAATGGTAAGCCCAAAGCGGACAATATCGTGCTACGGTAGTGGAGCGGGCCCGGGAAGTGATCCGCCCCGGGCCGGGATGTGACATTGGTATCAGAGCCTATCCCTGGCCAGAAATGTGCCGACGAGGACGTCGGACCCCTAAGGGGGGTGGATTGTAACATCCCACATCGCCCAGGGGACTGATCCTTAAATGTATATTCCCATCCCTACCTAGCACGAGGTCTTTTGGGAGCTCACTGGCTTCGGGTTCCGTAGGAACTCCGAAGTTAAGCGAGAAGAGGGGTAGAGCACTCTCTGGATGGGTGACCTTCTGGGAAGTTGCTCGTGAGTTCCCAAAAACAAAACCGTGAGGGAACGGTAAGCCCAAAACGGACAATATCGTGCTACGGTAGTGGAAGCGGGCCCGGGAAGTGGTCCCATCCGGGCCGGGATGTGACAATTTGGTATCAGAGCCTAACCCTGGTCGCGTGTGTGCCGACGAGGACGTCGGGCCCCTAAGGGGGGTGGATTGTAACATCCCACATCGCCCAGGGAAGTGATCCTTAAATGTATATTCGCATCCTTACCTAGCGTGACGGCCAGCATGCCCTGATCTCGATTGGGGTGTGTCAGTTATTGTGACATCCCACATCGCCCAGGGAAGTGATCCTTAAATGTATATTCCCATCCCTACCTAGCACGAGGCCTTTTGGGAGCTCATTGGCTTCGGGTTTCGTAGGAACTCCGAAGTTAAGCGAGTAGCGCGCGAGAGCATTCCCAGGATGGGTGACCTATCGGGAAGTTCTCGTGTGAGTTCCCAGAAACAAAACCGTGAGGGCGTGGTCGGGACCCAAAGCGGACAATATCGTGCTACGGTAGTGGATCGGGCCCGGGTTGTGGTGGGGGCCGGCCCGGGCCGGGATGTGACAACAGCCCAGGACAGGCAGAAGAGTTTAGCGGATCGGCATGCTACGGACAAAACATACGAGGTTGGAGATTGGGTATTTCTGAAGCTTTCGCCGTGGAGAGGTGTAGTGAGATTTGGGAAGAAAGGCAAGTTGAGTCCCAAGTACATCGGACCATACATGGTCACAGAGCGAGTTGGTGAGGTAGCCTACGGGTTGGAGTTGCCTCTGGAGTTAGCCAGGGTGCATAACGTTTTTCACGTGTCTATGCTCCGACATTATGTGATGCGAGAATTATATACGCACACAAATTAACCCTCTTTTTGACAATTGTAGTATAAGTATAAGTAGGGATCGTTCTTAACTGGGGATTAGGAGGGATTGCTAAACACTTGGAAACTGACTTAAAAACTCAAAAACAAAGTTTAAAACACTAAACTTGACTCAAAGAATGCAAAACTAAAAGTTAAAACACTTAAACAAACCTAAAACCCAAAACAGCAACTAGAAGACTCAAAACTGCCTAAAAACCACTTTCTGGGCAGTTTTGAGCACCTACACTAATTTGGACGAAATTGGATGAAAACTTGAATCAAAATACTTAGAAACACAAATCAAAACACTTTCTAACTAATTTGGACAATACAAAGACTCAAAGGACTCAAAACAAGTTCAAAAGACTCAAAACTGCCTAAAAACACTAACTAGGCAGTTTCTGACCTTAAACACAAATTTGGACGAATTTAAGATTATAGGTGGATTCAAAACACTTTAAAACACAAATTAAACAGATTCTAAACACTATAGAACAAGAAAGTAAAGGGGGGGTTTTGATTTGACGAAAATTGAAATAACAAAACAAGTTAATAAACTAGGCAGAATTGTAAAACGAATTTGAGAAACAAGATGATGGATGGATTAGTTAGAGGTCCATTCTCCACACAAGACACATTTGTATATGAATCGATTCTCCAATTGATTTTCACTAACTATGATGCTCAACACCCCAAGTTAACCGTGATGCACTAATTAACCTTCAAATTTTCCTTATGTCAATGAATTGGATGATGCATGCGACAATTCAAAGTATTCTCCAACGGTCCTCAACATGAATGCATAGAAGAGATACAGTGAGAGATCATTATGCTCTATGAAAATTATAAGTGTTGACGAGGCAATTGTAACTATGAATGCATGATACTCTTGCCAAGAATTCAATTAACGCGGTTGTGACTAGCAACCTTCACTACTCATGTTTATAAACTTGTGACGATTAGGTGAAACTCGTTTATAAACTAGCATCAAGTTCATGCATGAAAACTAAGTATGCATCCTTAATCAACATACAAGAACAAGTTATGAATAAAACAGATAATTGAATTGCGATCACAACTTAACAAATCACAATTGGAAGAAATCAATTCATATTTCAAACATGTTCATGGCTTCAAACTTTCCCCTAACTAATTAGGGGTTTAGCCACTCATGATTACAGCAAACTTAGAAGATAATAACAAAGTAAACATTGAAAACAAGAATCGAAGTACACCTAAAAATTCCAACAACTCAATCTTGAATTGTATGAACGTTTAAGCCTCTTCTCCTCTAGTTGCTGCGGCACAAGGGGTTTTGGTGAGTTTTGGGGGTTATGGATGATGTAGAATGATGTGTTTAGGGTAGGGATGGATGTAGGGGAAGGCAAGGAGTGTTTTTGGGCAGAAAATATGAAGAATGGTGAAGTATGGCTGTGTTAGAGAGAGGGAATGAATTTCTGGCGTGAATGAATGTGTATGAGAGGTGGTGATCTGATCTAGGGGTTAATATGAGTATATATAAGCACTTAAAACCCTAGGGTAATCAGATATGAGCTTGTGACAAGCTAGGATGGCTAGGAGACAAGCTAGGACGGCTAGGAGACAAGGTAGGACGGCTAGTGACAAGCTAGGACGGCTAGGAGACAAGCTAGGACGACTAGTGACGGCTAGGAGACAAGGTAGGACGGCTAGTGACAAGGTAGGACGGCTAGGAGACAAGGTAGGACGGCTAGTGACAAGCTAGGACGGCTAGGAGACAAGGTAGGACGGCTAGTGACAAGCTAGGACGGCTAGGAGACAAGCTAGGACGGCTAGGAGACAAGGTAGGACGGCTAGTGACAAGCTAGAAATTAGGCACCATGTGTGAATAGATAAAGCCTTCTAGAAATAAGATTTTTAGGCCCCCTTGCAGCTCCCTAATTGAATTCAAGCCTTCAAATTCGTCCATCCTCATGCCTCCATGCTTGCACTATCCAATCTTGGCCCAAAAATGCTCTAGAATGCTCCAAATTGCTTCTTTTTGCATACTTTGACACTAAAACCTGAAATTGCACGAAAATGACTTTAAACACTAAACTAACTAAGGAAAAACAACATAAATGCATGAGAACAAGCCAATTAAGTCGCATAAAAAATGCTCCTATCATTATGTTGCTGATCCATCTCACGTGATACCTCCTCAACCGTTAAAAATTAATCCAGATTTGACGTATGACGAGGAACCGGTGACGATCATCGATTGGAAAGAGAAGGTTCTGAGGAACAAAACGGTGAATTTAGTGAAAGTTTTGTGGAGGAATCATTCAGTCGAGGAAGCGACGTGGGAGACAGAAGATCGGATGAGGGATTTGTATCCTAGATTATTCTTTAGCTACTAGGGGTTGCTATTTGGTTGTTTTGAATTTCGGGACGAAATTCTATTAAGGTGGGTAGGTTGTGACAGCCCGTCCCGAATTAACATTTTCATATGTGTAAAGTGTGTTTAATTAACCTAAATCTTTATTAAAGTTGGACGGTTTGTTTGATTGTGTCGAATGATTAAAGACAGGGCACTGTGCATACACGGGTTGCACGTTTCTTCTCCTTTTCCTTTTCCTTTCCGTGATTTCCTCAAACCTGTTTTTTCATTCTTCCTCTCTCCCCGTCAAGCTCTCTCTCTCTCCCTCACTCTCAAACACACGGCAACAACACCAATTCTTCAAAACTTCACGGATCGACGAAAATAAAATCACCATCTTCTTCTTTTCGACGATACGAGTCCAACCATACCAATTTCAGGTAAGAACTATAACGTTTTCATGGCGAAAATACGAACTTCGGTTTAGGTACTATTCATCAACTTTTTATTGGTTGATTTTTAGGACTTTTCAAGCTTATAGGAAGCTTCTTGAGGTCCTTAGGAGGCTTGGAGTAATTCGTTGGAAGTTTTTGGACGAAAAAACACGGAGAACGACAAGTTCAAAGTTTGGCCGGAGCTTTCGAGGCTTTTTCCGGCGAATCCACGGCGAGTTAGGGGTCGAGGTAGGTATGCATGTGTTCGTCTCGTCAATACCTTCATTTTGATATAAAGTACGTCGAAAATGGTTAAGAAATGAAGAAGTTATGACACTTTGAAGTTTACCCAGAAATTCCGGCAAAACACCCACCTCCGGCGAAACCAGTCCGGCGACGCGAGGAAGAAGACGCGCGCGTGGGCAGCGCGTCTACAGTGCGCGTGAGGGCGCGTGAGAGCCCCAAATTGAGTTCTAAAAATTGTCACGTGTTCGTGACGTCGTGTAGATCACCGTGGTATATTCACACACCCAAATTGAGTAATGTATGAGAAGTTATTTTGAACGGAAGGTTATGTGCTTTAAAGTTAACGTTTTTATAGTTATTTCGCATATAGGTGACACGTATCCCGAGGACGAGCGTGCACACTCGAGGCAGGGGGGCTACGACCCTTCCACATACCAATGAGTGGGCTTTTGTTTTCCGTATATACCTATATACAGATTAATTCCCAGAAATTAGTATAAATGCTTCGTTATATGCCATTCCTTTATATAATTGGTGGTTATGCATGATTAGTGGCATGTACGTTTAATTATATATTCAATTATGCATATGTCATATCTATATATGTTGGTGTTGTGGAGGCATAGGTAAGTGCCAGGTAAGCGTTATTTAACGATTGCATTAAATAGTGGTTAGAGATGCTTAGAGAGCTCATAACCTGCACCCCCGGTGTTAGTGCTCCCGCCCAGAGTAGGGCACAGTCCTTCACGTGTTGTTCACCTCTTGCACCACACGCTCAGCTTGAATCCAAGTTAGGTGCACAGTCCTGTCGTACAGACCAATATAGGTGGTTCCGACTCGTAGGTGACCCTTGATTATTCGCACAGCCCTCACGTGATCGTAGCACTAGAGCGTTTATATGTATTGCACCCAGGCTTGTCGTACAGACCACTATAGGTGGTTCCGACTCGTGGGCAGGTTTAGTTGTTGAGATTGGGATTTGAGCTCTAGATTCAGCCGTACAGGTCACTTTAGGTGACTCCGGCTGCCAGTGATAAGTTATTGACACGGTTTATACTTGAGCACTTGCATATTATTATGAGGTTTTGAGCACGATGGCATACCTTTGAGCATATTTGGCATATTTATACCAACGTATATATGTTTATTTTCTGGGAAGTATACGGGTTTTACGGCGAGGGGTTAAAATGTATTTTATGAAATGGCTTTCAAAGAATTTGTTTTTGCCCACTCACGCTTTTGTTTTGCGCCCCTCTAGGTTCTAGTAGCTTAGCGGGTTCGGTGGTTTTCCCAGAGGACGTCCCGGCATTTCTGACAGACACTCACCTATGTAGGGTCACCTTCGGGTGCACTATTGTTGTATCGTTTATTTTGGACTGCTGTAGGCTTTAAGCTCTGAATTCAGTGTCTCACTTACGCTAGCACTCGTATTGTCACATTTTGTATGCTAGTTTTAAATTATTCGTAGTTTTATATTACTGTTTCTAGCTTCCGCACTGTGCACATGGCTACGTCACTTCCATGTGACGGCCAGCATGCCCTGATCTCGGTTGGGGTGTGTCAATTATATGTTTGCGTATCTATCTTTTGGGTTATCCATCAATTAAAAATTATTATGTGAGGATTTTGATTGTTGACTTATCATTGGTATATTTTAAGTGGTTTTTGATATTTTGATTGGTGTTGGGAAAAAAAAGAAAAAGGGATGAAATTGTTTTGCGCTCAACGCATAGTTAATCTTAAAATAGGGTTTATTAAATTGGTTTGATGATATATAGGTGGTAACAAATTAGTGATGTCAATTCCTACAAGAAAGAGGCTGATGGGAGACTTTGAGAGGCTGCAACAGGACCCGCCTGCAAGGATTAGTGGGACGCCTCAGGATAACAATATAATGTTGTCGGTGAGGTTAGTTATTTTTGAGGCTTTGCTTCTACAAATGTGAACTCTTTACATGGAAACCAAATTTTTTGTGAATTTTAATTGTTATATATCGAACTCCTCTGCACTGAACTCTGTGTATTACAACAATTATAATTAGAACTTGGATGAAATGGGCTCCATCCAGCAAAACTCATGCCCTAACAATAATAATTAGAACCAAATTTGATAATTTCTCATAGTTTAGGCCATTTGGCCAAGTCAGAATGAGAAACACAGATGTTTTCTTTATCTTATGCTATTTGTTTGGCTGTAAATCGTACGGAGTAAATCTCTTGGTGTCATTTTAAATAGACTGGAAATATGTCTCATGCAAAATTAATGTTGATGTTTATCAATGGAAATAAGTTTTGAAGTGATTACCTTTCTTTATACAAGTTCTCTTCACAATGAAACTTATATTATAGTGTCACTTTTACTTGCTTTCGCACAAGGTGGTGTTTGGACATGTAATTGGCGTGTTATTACTCACTAAATCTTTTTTATCCTTATCTTCTATATTAATATCGCCATTTTTTTTTTGGGGGGGGCTCAATGAGTGGTTTGGCAGATAATAGACAAAGGTTTTAAAGCATTCATTTAATGTTATTGCAGATCCGCTAAATTCTTCAAGAAGTCCGGTTTACAGAACTGAAGCCGTTTAAGCACAAGGCGTCGCAGTTTATAGATGAGGTATTATAAAATTTAAAAACGGTCAATAGTATCATTACTGATCCTTTAACATTTAACTATCAAAGCTTGAGTTTATAATAATTAATTCTTCACTGATGATATGTTGTGATGGGGTTTAGTAATTTTCAGTATTCTTCAATTCTTTTTAATCTTCAAAATCAAATAACCCATGGAATTTATGGCATACAATTAGTTTCCTTTCAGTTGGGTTGAAATGATATTGATTGTGCTGTTATGAAGCTCCTTTTTATAGTTAGGTTGAAAATCATATTGATAGATTCTTTATTTGGTTGGTCTGATCTGTAACAGATGGGATTGTTTTGTTTGATGTTTGAATCAAAATTTGATCTTTTTTTTGTGTGAAATTATGATGGAATCGCAAATTTGTGAGGTAAATCTTAGATTATTGGTTGCATAGTCACCTTCCCGCAACTATTACATTGTCTTTTGACTAAATGAATTTTTATAATTTCCAGGATCTACGGTTGCAATGCTTTTGATGCATGCAATCAGGAGGATGCTACTACTCTTATGGAGCTTCTTTGGCATGGTAAGTTGAAGTTGCATATCATTTTTTTTTCGTTCACGAAATTCATTATCTTGCTATCCTGGCAATTAGCAGTGTCTGACAACTGGTGAAGTATATGAATATATGTGTGGAAGTTTGAAGTATACATATGAAACTGAACTTTAACAACTCTAACTTAGATTTTTAATTAATTTCTTTCATTTGTGTTCGACTATTTTACGTTTTTGGTATATAAGTACAACTATTGATTGAACACCACATAAATTACCTAACAGCCAAGAAATTGTTTGTGTTAGAAGAACATAACATGACGTAAAGCTCAAATTTTGGGCACTTAAATATATGTTTTTTTTTTTCAATTACAATCAGTCAGCATGAAAGTTCAATTGGATTTGTTCTGGTCTCCAAGAAATTTTCTTTGTTTGGTTACCAATTAATTTATGTGGCGAGAGTTTAGTTTTTAGTTTTTGCTTTTCTGCCTATGTATATATGATTTGAAATGAACAGTTCAATTTGCTATATATAAATTTGTAGTCGAAGGGTTCGAAGGAGGGGTGAATTAGAAACAATGGGGGGAAGAGTGATGGAGTTGAGGAGTTGAGAGTTAATGAGGTATACTTGAATTTCTGTATGACGTCCTTGGTATTGGGAGATCATTGAGACTAACTATCTGGTTGATTAATGATCAAATTTTGTTGGAAAATTAGCTACTTGAACAAGTACTGAACACTTTCTATGTTTTTTTATTAACTGCTGAATGAAATAGGTGCCTGGCAAAATATGTGCCGATTACATTTTGCTTCTGTTTCTTATGGAAACAGAACTTTTTTGGCAACCATGTCTTTGTGATCAAGAACATTCAGTTTCTTCCTACTAATTGTGCAATGTCGTTACATGTCAACTTAGTTGAATGTATATAAAAGTCAAACTACTTATCTTATCAACCTCATTCATTCATGTGTCCCTCTGTTCATTCATGATTGTGTTGAATTTATTCAGGTTAAATGTGTCTTATTCATGCAGTTACGCCTGAAACAGTGGTTCCCACCGCAACGCGCGGGCTTATTCTCTAGTTACTTTAGTCTAAAGGTTTGGAATTGGCACTGTAGAAATGAACAGTGTTTTGGGGTGAATTTCAACTTATTTACAAATTTGCCACAGGCTCTCTCTCCCCCTAATCCGCACACACGTTGATGATCGCGGGAAGGGAATAACAATGGTAAAGCAGGCCTTTTCCGTTTCCTTCTCAAGCCCTCCTCGCCTTCTCTGTGTCGTGCACCTCGCCTTCTCTCTGTCGCATTCCATACCAGAACTCAAATCAATGGTGAGGTGCATGTCGTTGTGTAACCCATCTTCAGCTCTGTCTCTTTCACTGTTGGATTCCATGTGCTGTTGCCGATCTACAGGTAAAGCTTCAATTTCCATATTGGGGTTCCATTTTTCTTCATTTCTGGAATTTGGGTTTTTATTTCAGTAATTTAATTATGACTGTCAGTTTGTGCGTGCGACTGTGGGAGAGAGAGAGAGAGCAAGGGAACCAGCGATGAGAGAAAGAGAAAGTGAGGTTGGAGGGAGGGAGAGTGATTCTGGTGCCGTAAATGAACGAACACGTTCCAAAATACCACGAGTGGATGAAAGACCCAGCTCTCCTCCAAGCCACCGGCTCCGAGCCCCTCAGCCTCGACCAGGAATACCAGATGCAGCTTACCTGGACCCAAGACCCCAATAGTACTCTCTTTCTCTCTCTTACATGTGTTTGTGTGGGTTTTGCTAGATTCCTTTGCTGTTTCATAACAAAAACTGAACTGGGTTTTCTGGGTTTGACAAAAAAGTGGTAATTGTGGAATCTGATATTGAAGGTTTGATCTATCAGGAAAATTATAAAAAAGGGTTCAATTTAGTTTTGACAAATGATTGAGGGTTTTTTGTGTGATTGTATTAGTGGTTTGGTGAATGATTGAAGATTTGAAAATGGTTTTTGCCGAGCAGACTTTCATTGTATTAGATAAGCAATTGGTTGTGGGAGAGTTCAGCCATGGAGAGCCTCATGTGGAAGGTTAGCCAAATTTACAGTCTTTCTTCACAAAATTACCTTATGATTGGTTGCTGAGAAAAATTATGGAGACATTCAAATGATTACTTGAGAACAGTTGGTTGGATGGTTTTGGATGAAATCATGAGAAGTGTTTAGTAAATTTTGATCTTAATTTTACTAAGATTTTGAGTGTTTTTTTTCCTCTGCAAATTTCGATTAAATTGCTTGCAATTGAACTATTTTGTAATTTTCTATAAAACTCCCTGTATATTTATAATTTGTGTCCAATAGCAGGTAATTAGGTATTGTATTTTTTGAAAACTCCGATTAATTTTTTTCATGTTCTTCTTTTCTGGTGGGAAGATTAGGGATAAGCTCCGTACCCAAACTTGAGAGAGAGAGAGAGAGAGAGAGAGAGAGAGAGAACTCCGATTAATTTTTTCATGTTCTTCTTTTCTGGTGGGAAGATTAGGGATAAGCTCTGTACCCAAATGAGAGAGAGAGAGAGAGAGAGAGAGAGAGAGAGAGAGAGAGAGAGAGAGAGAGAGAGAGAGAGAGAGAGAGAGAGAGAGAGAGAGGATGAGGGAGGGAGGGAGGTATGGGTTTAGGGGAGAGGACCTTTCCACCTCCATCAAAAGATACATCTCTCAGATCCAATCCCTCTGCGCCGAGATGGACCGACTCTGGCGATCTGTGGGCGCCAAATCCCAATGCGATCTCTGGAAAAGGTTGGTTTTCTTGCATTGATCCCTTTAACCTTGACGTGGTTTTTTGTCATTTTTGCATTTTGTAATTGGAATTTGACTTGGTTTCTTTAAATTTCGTTAATTACTATGATCTTTGACTTGGGTTTTTGTTATTTTTGGGCATTGGGGTTTTTTGTTCATTAATTCTTGAAAGTTGAGGTAGGATTTTGTCAATTTTGTATATGGTGGTTGTAATTGTGATTGGGATTATTGAACTGGATCCTGATTTGCTTTTTGTTATGCAGAAAAGTGGAACACATAGCGGAAGAGGCTGAGTCTTTGAAAGATAGTTTGGATAGGTATGATGCGAGGAATCAGAAGAGGGCGACGAAGTGAGAGAGGGCAGAGTTGCTTGGAAGAGCCGTATTAAACCAGAAATCCTTTTTAACATTCTGTTTACTGCTTCAGTATCATGTATGCCTTTTGTTTTATATATGCCTATATTATTGTGATGTAGAATGGAGATGGTGCCTCATGTTATGAGAATCTTCGACAAGGAGGCGCAAGCAGGGGACTCAGTTAGTAACTTTGCTTGCATGCTTGAAGAAACCAATGCTACTGGGGAAACTATTCTCAGGAAATATGTAGAACAGAGGGAATTTCTAAAGGTATCACCCTATTTGTGCTCACCGCTACGCACCTCAACTTTCATGATTATTGAAAAAAATAAAAAATAAAAAAAATAAAAAAAGCAGTGGTGAAACTGTGGCTCTGTCTATATCATTTTTGTTGAATATAAAACGTTCATTGGAGTACTTACACTGGTTTTATAGCAAATTTTAACTACTAAAGGACAGTTGTATACTTAAGAAAATTGGTAGCTCTTCTTTGATATTGTGTGCACATAGTAGTTACTATAAACGAATAGGTTGAGTTAATGTTTGAGATGAGCATATGTGCTGCAGGATAAGAGAGAATCCGAGAGGAAGTAGAGAGAATAGGAAAAGGAATTTGTATACATTGTTTGTTAATTTGATTTTGCTAAGTTCTGTAATTGTTTGCTTTGTCTTTTAGGTTTTTGGAATTCTGATGTTTGGTGGTTATTTTGTGTTTCGATTGAAGCATTTGGTAATGACCAGTTTGTTAACGTGGTCACAATGTTAATTCCTTCTTTGCTTCTCAGTAGATATGAGCATCCTCCCTTCACTTCCTAGATCATTGGTTGGTTCTTCTTGCTTGGTTTAATCGGGTAAATTATTAATTTCATGTATTGATAAAATCTCATGTGAGAAATTAATAAAGCTTGCATTTTTAATTTGTTGGTGTGTGGTTATTGATTAGTTGGTTTGATTGAGTAGTTATATATTAATTTTTTAGCAATAACGTATTAATGGCATTCCAGAGCTGGTTATCTAACAAATTTTGTTTCTTGAGACCTCATCACCTGTATTCTATGTGCTTCCGTTTTGTGCAGACTATGGTTCAAATGTGTCAATTGTTCTGGACATGCGATTACAAGGTACATTCGGTCTACCAACAACATTTCTATGCACACAACTCAGACACATGGATATGTTCTATTCTCTGCGACAAGCGAGGCCACTACCATATACGAATCTCTTCATACATGTCAGTTCCCTTTTCTCACCCTTGTCATGTTTTGTCCAATATTATGTTTTTTATCTGATTTCATGTGTTTTCTTGACGTTTTTCCATTCTTTGATATAGGTAGTTTGTTATGTTTTCATGATCTGGGTCTTTTTTCAATTTGCATTTTGGTTGTCCAAGATTTCTAAGTTTTTGTATAAAAATATAAGAACAAAACTGCACATCGAGGAGTTTATGATGAACTTTTTGGAGTGACACGGTAACACTTCGCTTTAGGAATTTGTAAAACTACTAATCATTGTTTGATAATTCCTTGCATGTGTATAATGAACGACTTGGACTTTAACATAAATTAATTTAATTTCTATTGCAGCAAATCTGGTCATTTTCTGTGTAAGTTTCCCCTCATTGTTCAGTTCTGGCATTCCCCTCAAAACATCGTTTGTGTCGTTTCCTCTCTTTCTGTGTTCAGCTTACATACCTTACGTATATATTGGAGACTACGACAATAAAAGATGTTAGTTGAATGTATATAAAAGCCAAGCTGCTTATCTTATCGACCTCATTCACTCATGTGTGCCTTTGGTAGTCCTCAACACTTTCTGTTTTTAATTACCTGTTGAAATGGCTGCCTACACTGCAGGACACATATTATGTGTGTGAACTAAATGTTTCTTCTGTTTCTTAAGGAAACAGGCCCAAATGTGTTGGTTTTGGCTGGGAAGCCCGGCTCTCAATGAGGCCCAAATTATTTAACTACATTTTTGCCCATCTAAGATTACAGTCCGATGGTGGGGATGGTTTATTAAGAAGGGCAATTTTGTCCTCTCCGTTTTGGGCGAGATAGGGCGTCAACGGGCAGCTATCATTTGGTGCCGTTCAATTAGGGTTTCGGGGAGGGTCTGAGAGAGAGAGAGAGAGAGAGAGATGGCGATGGAAGGAGGGCAAGGGGGAAGGGTAGGGGTCTCGGCTCTGTTGATGCAGATGGGAGGTTGGATATGGTCAGAGAAGACCATATGGGTCGTCGGGATTCCAGGGAGACGGGGTAGGGGTCATCAACAAACCCTACTGAGAGTGGGGTGTGCCGGATCTTGCGCTGCATGTCTCAAATCCAAAGATAAGTTTCTTTTTTTTTAATTGTATTCTTTAATGTTGCCTTGGATTTTCTGATTTTTTTTAGTATGTTAGGTCCGGTTTTGGGGGATTTGTCATTTTCTAGAGAGAGATGGATAGGGAGATAGACATAGAGAGAGGAGAAGGCATGGCTGTGTGCATTTGTTGGGATTAGTTAATGGGTTAGTGCGTAGGGTCGGTGAGGAGAGAGAGAGGGGTGTATGGCAGGGTATGGCCTTTCGGTTTTTCCCTCTGATTCAATAGGTTATGCACTGTTTGACAATAATTGTTTGTTGTTTTGTATTCCTTTGGCTTTGTTAGAACCATCATTAGATTTTTGGGTTTCACTGTCCTCATTATGCTTCTTCAAAATTTTCTGGTGTTTGCTTCTCATTCCTCTGTTGGTTGATTTTTTTTCCCATTTCTTGGTTCCTTATGTATTTGTTGGTTCTGTCTAATTTTTGGTTGTGGGATGATGCTTGCAGATGAACTAGTTGCACGGTTTTTTGGGACAAGTTAGGAAGATCCACATGAAAACAGCATAGAAGATAGAGAACTGGTATGCTGCTTTGTCTTTCTGTGGGATTTTTATGTTTATGTTCTGCTGCTAAGAGGATTTTAAAATGTTCTAAATCTGTTTTGTAAATGTGCTTAAAGATTGCACATATTCTTGAATATTAGCCATGTTGTTTGGATTGAATATGTGATTGAATATTGGAGAAGATACCATCTTGCTTGATTTCAATTGAAGACTACTAATTTGATCGGCTTATATAAAGTCTGTTTATGTTTAAGATGTATTTTGTTCGAATCTCTAAACTGGACTCATATAAGGAGTAGTTAGGTAATTAAGCTTCACACAGTAATTCGTGATGTTAACAATGAATAAAACCTGATCAGTCTCCTTCCCCTCAAACAAGTTTCTCAGTAGAAACCCTCCTCTCTGACAGACAAATACAAATGGAAGCAGCATCAATGGGTAGTAGTTGTGTTGCCCTAAGATAAAATTAGGTTTGTGTTTTGGAAATAAAGGGAATTCATTCCACAGATCTGTACGTTCATATATGAACTATGCAAACAGAGCCTTTTCCTGTGAGATTTGAGGAACTGTGAAAGATACCTCATTCGCAGCGGATGAATTTTCTGTTTTATTATTTTTTGTAGCTAAATAGTAAATTAGGCAAAGTTGATTTAAACTAATTTATAATGTTCATAGATTGGATTAGATCTGTATATGTTTATTTTAAGGAGAATATGTTCTTTAGTGATTAAAAAGAAAAGCTTGATTGTTCGTTTACATTTCTATAGTAATCTACATGATCAAAGTGGTGAAAGTTGTTTATGCACACTTTTTACTGGAATCAAAGAGAATCTATACTCGAATGCTTTAAGGCAACTAAAACTGATCTAATTTGGATCGCAATGATTTGTTTTCATAATTTGGTTGTATCTGAAAAGAAAAGAAAAGAAATGCTTGAATCAATCGCATAGTTATAAGACATTGTAAGGTTGAGGGTTTGATTGATAGGAGTGGAGACTTGGTTTGTGCCTCAAAATATACTCTCTTCTCTGCTGTGTGCTTAAGTTACCGTTTGGTACGTGGGACGGGATGGAACAGAGTGGGACAAGGTGTTCCGTCTCACGTTTGGTGCGCCTAAAACGGGTGGAACGAGCTGTTCCACGGGACGAGTTTTAGATGAATTTTCGTTCCATCTCACCTCCTGGAACGACTCGTTCCACATATATAGAACACAAAATTATAACCTCTCTAACTCCAAGTGGTGATGGCAACATTCTAACTCCGAAGTATAAGGATGTCCATTCGGTAAAGAAGGAACCCAACGATCCACCCAAAGCCTTACATTTCTACCATTCATCACTTGTCATTGGGCTCCTCTCAAAAGAATCTCTCTCCTTTCCAATAAACTTGCCCAAGCCCACGAGGCCCTACTCCCTTTTTTAGCCTGGAGAAAAGAAGAATGGGGGAAAGTATCTT